GATGATGATAATGATACATGATGTTGATTATGGTGATGATGATATTGATTTACTGCCCCAGAAAATTCATGTATATTAAATAAAGCCTCCTATGACACCACACTCATTAACATATGAGAAAGAAGATATACGCAAGGTTTCAAACTCACACATAGTATACACGTAGTAAAGGGGAAGCATGGGAAGTAGCGGTGTTAGCGCTCGCCTCCCATTAAAGGCGATTAGGGCTCGATGCGAGTAGAAATGCTTGTTGGTTCTCTCCTGYGTTTCGAAGGTTTTTTCTCAGGTGRAAGAAAAGCCGCTCAGTGGAAGTACTGTTATTCGCTATTCCTCCTTCCTTCCTTCCTTCCTTCCTTCCTTCCTTCCATCCTTCCTGCCTTCCTTCCTTCAGAAGGAACGCATTTGCTCACGATCGAGGGTAAGACGAAGGCCTCGTCCACACTTCGTTTTCGAAACGCTCCTTTTTCGCCTCCCACTTCACCGAAAACGCATCGAAAACATATTAGGGCAATTCTAATTCCCAAAGGACCCCGCGCTACAAACGCTTGCACATAAAGCTACGTGCCGGCGAAATTTATAAAATTATACCTGTCCAATCATTACAAATGTCGTTACTCACATGTCACAAATCATTTTCTGAGATAGCTAACATGGTGCATTGTGGTCCAGCTTGGGTACAAAATTTTTTTTTTCGTTCATCATGCCTTATATGGTATGGTTTGTATCCAAGCTATACCACAATGCATGTTTATCTAACACAAGAAAGGCCAGCCAATCATTCGATAATAGGTAAGGGTGCAAAATGAATCAGCTTAACTTCTCAGTCAAACCTCATTCTCTGTTTTGGTTTCGAAGCCTTTACTAAAACACATGCGTGCGTTGATGGCACCTGACAAATTTATGCCTCATATATAGAAGTGTACGTCTTATGTTTCCCATACCATGTAAAGAATAACGCTAGTTATTCAACGAAACGACACGCATCCCCCCAGAGTTTTTTCATTTTTGTTTTTGTTATAAATACGAGATTTTTMCTTCTCTTTTCTCCTTACTCTTTTGACTTGAACATTTTATACCCGACAACAAACTCCTACATTWTGCTATCGTATCCAGACTTTAGAATAGTGTATAGAGATTAGCCTGCAGGCAAATGGTGAAAGATTACGATTAATCCCTTAATTGCTGTATCTGCGTTCTTCTTCGCTCCTAATTTATCATCACTAAYGATATTATTATAATCATATTATTGCTTAGTGAATCAACATGGCGGCGCTTAACGCATGACGTCACGTAAGGCAATCAAATTTTGTCGTGACGACCAATTGTACGGATTCTGTGCTTGTTAATGAGAATGAATCAATATATTAATCCTTCGTTTTCCAGCAATAGAAATATTTTCACTATTTCATGCAAATTGTTCGAACATGAACAGTATATTTTCTCTAATGTCAAACACTTCAAGATGGCGCCGGGTTACAATATATGTCAGCTTTTACACCAAAATGTTTCAGAAATGCGTTTTAATTATTAGTTTTTGCCATATGCCACGATACCAAAACACATGGTTACACAAGTGTGTCAGTGTTAAGCAAAAACGGATGTCAGCGTTTTCTTTTAATTCCAAAGTTTTGAAGATTTTCCAGCCGCTCATTGAAGAATTAAAAATCAATATGTCCCCTGCTAGCAATGACTGTATAGTCAGTGAGCAATTATATTTTTATTAACAATTTATATTTTTCTGTCAACACCACTAATAAATGTGTCAAAGTCTCGTRGATTTTCCTCGCCACTTTGAAAGAATAATAATGAACATTGATTGACAAGTGTCATCCGCGAGCAAAATTTGTCAATTAAGGTTTTCTAAAGCGCTAATCGTCAGGATTTATTCCAAAACATATTTCAAAATCTCTTTTTTCTTGTTATTTTCAAAGAATAGGGTTACCGGAAATTGAATTCAAGCGATATAGATGTCGTTTTTCGATGGGTTAATGCTTCTTTTTTTCGCAATTTTATAAGATCTGTCACTCGAAATCAGTGGCTTCCGGCTATTCAATAAAGAAATCTGTAAAAGAAACTTCACCTAGTTTAAGATAATGAATATGTAGAACCAGAGATAAATGTTCGGCAAATGAAACCTAAGCAAATGGAATTCTGTTTTCGAATTTATTTTGTTATTATATTTTGACCCGTATCGTTAGACAAGCTGGAAGCTTCGTGCAGGTGTGTATCTCGAAGCAGATATACTAATAGTTTTTTTTGTTTTCCAAACGAAAAATAAATTTTAAGTGAAATAAAATAGGACAGAAAACGGCGGAAAATAATAGAAAAAAAAAAGAAGAAGAAGAAGAAGAAGAAGAAGAAGAAGAAGAAGAAGAAGATAGAGAAAGAAAGGGGAAGAGGGAGAGAGAGAGAGAGAGAGAGAGAGAGGGAGAGAGAGAGAAAAGAGCTAAGAGAGATAAGAAAAGATAATTCCAAAAGAGATCATAGGAAATGTATAAAGTGATCTTGTCATAATATGGTTGTTTGTTTCAAAAAGTAAAATTATTTATCGTACGAGAGTAGCAATTTGAGTATTCTGTTTTTCTTAGCAAAGGTACGTTTTTTATTTAGGGGGCGGGTTAGCCTCCGTTGCAGACGTCTTGTGGTGTTCGGTTCGGATCCCTCCCCCACCAACGACGCTAGGGGGGGGGGGGTGGGGAAGTCGTGGTAAATTTTTTATAAATAGTTGTAGCCCGACCCCTTTCGCTCAGCAAGACCATTTATGACCCTTCTATTAAGTCAACAAGAGGCAGGTCGTAGTCAGACCAAAATGTTTACTGAGGCAAAGGAGGGCCGAAGGGGGAGCAACTAGTGGTTCAGGGTCATTGCCCAACCAAAAATTGAGATCCTTGGAAATGCGATTTTCTGAGTTTTGAGGGACATTTGTGAAATTTTACCCAGGCAACTGCCATGCTTGTCTCATAGTGGCTACGTCCCTCATAGAAAYAGCTTTCGTCAAAATAAAAAGATTTAATTCTTCAAAAAACTTCAAATTTTTACTGTTGACTCTCGGCTCTGAAGCCCCAGCCCTTCCCCAATTAAAAAAGTACCTTCCCTTAACTGACTTAAATTTCAGTCTAACAGCCCGTCCTACCCCTCCCATAAGTCTTAAAATATTCTGTCCCTCCCGTTCCTAAGGACCAAGGATATTGCACTTTCCACCAATTATCTGCCAGTTGGAGTTAAGCAGCCTCGAAAACACGTCGGAAGTCGTTATCTCACTTTTTTAATTGGGCTGTCGTTGATAAAAAGATGAATAACAAAAAAGAACTCACTCTTCATAGAATTGAAACTCGCGGACAATTTATCGCCTTGGAAATCATGGATACTGCAGAAAAACTTACCAAGAGAGAATTTTGAAAAAAAAAAGTATATAATATTCATTGTTTCATGAGGACAATCGGTCAGAGTGTTGCAACTTGGGTACATATTTGACTTTTCTTGTTAGTCAACTAAGTTATTCCTAAGTGACGAATATAAGTCATTGAACTTCCAGAGCAAATGGCCATATTATAGACCAGAAAGGATTGCATTGTCCCTGAATAAGCTCAGCCAAGAGTTTGGTTTCAYTATTATCTTGTTATAAATTTTCTTGAGACGCCATTCTGAAGCGAATAATAAATCGTTGACGACGACAAGATGGACAACACGGCCATTCCAACTATGCACGTTGAAGGAGGTTCGAAAAAGTCTTATACTATCCTTTTCACAACGTTTGTAATGATTGTTGTGTATACAGCCGTAYTGGGAAGTGTTATAATTTACTTGCTAAAGATCAACCAGGACATCAAGACGAGCCAAGACCAAAACAACGCCAAAATTAAACAAATCCTCCAAGATTTACGTGAATTGCGATTATTTGTCAACAACTCGAGGGCATGAATTCATTACTTTCGTAATATTATTCTTTTCCGTGCGGAAAAAAAAGAAAAAAAAATTGGCTTCATAAAATAAGGTTGAACAGTGARCAAAGGAAGCTCATTTTGTGTGGAGAATTCAATTAATGAAATAAGCTAGCCTTCAAGAACCAAAAACGGATGACGAAGTTATAAATTGTTCTCAAAAAATCAAGCAAATCTCACGAAAGGAAGAAACTGCAGCCTGTGATGAAAGAATAAAGACAAAGTGCTTCCTGCACGATAAAAGCAACTGAGTTTGACAGTTTAAGAAACCTTTCGGTTTAAAAATGAAATATGTCAAAATTGTCTGCTCGAACTTTGTATTCAAAACTGGTCGTTACTTGCTTGTAAAACAAGATGAACTATGAGGCAAATGAGCCAAATAAGTCAGGTGCCRAAATAATTCCTTCAAGGTAAATAAACTGTTGTTGTGGTTGCTACAAAAACTAAATTATTGAAAAGATAAGAGATCTAAGAAACGGGACTATGGTGGCAAAGTAAGACGTATTGTAAAACTAATCCGGCGACTTAAAAAGAGCGGAAAAAAACATGAGTTGCTTGGTTTTACCTCCGTCTTAACTCGCTTATATTCCCGACATTTATCAAGTTTAAAACATGAATATGTATGTATATTTTTAACAGTATGTAGATCTTAAATAATTGATGTTACCGTCTTAAATAAACAGTAAAAGAAACCTCCGATACTTTCATTGAGCTCGCCGAAGCTTTTAACCAAAAAGCCTTTGAATTTTGCTTTCAATCAATTTTCGGCACTTGACTTCTTACATTCGAAAGCAAAAAATTGAACCTTAATTATTGTAAAGCAATCACCGACTGATATATTTAGCAATAATTCATTATTCTACGAAAGATAAASGGGAATTAGGAATGAAATACAGACTTACGAATGGAGTTTGATATACACTTTTAGAGGGATTAGAAGTMATTCTTTGGTTCGTCTCAAGCACCTACTCCTAAGCGATATTCTAGAATATTAAGCATTTCTTTATATCGTCTATGAATAATTTCTATACACTCTCTCCAGGAGTCGGTSAATATTGCCTTTTACAACTTCTCTAGTCATTATTTCCTACGAATCTAGACATTTTTTAAATGTTCAGAATTTCATTATCAAGAACTTTAAGCGTAGGGCAGAGTGTTTTGATTTTCGTTCGATAGTCTGGAAGACCGCAGACTTTATTTCCTCTCAAATCGAGTTTCGCCAACCGAGGGAAGCTTTTTAATACATCAAGCACTTTCACATCCGTAATATCTTAAATTYACGTTAAGGAAATTTGATGGTCAGTATTCTAAACAGAATCATGATAACATGAATGGCAAATGATTGCAATAATGTYTGTATTCTCTGTTAACCAATTCAGTTTGGCAAGAGTCACGTWACGTCTAGTGGGGTCGATTTTGTATTTTTGTCCCACCCACTTCCCATTTGTGGAAAAAAATCCCATTCGTGAAAAAAAAAAAAACAAAAACAAAAAACAACATGCAAACACATTAAAAAAAACAATAATAATAATAATAATAATAATAATAATAATAAAAACAACCAAATGACCAAAATAAATGGAAAAAAAACAACAACAAACAAACAAACAAAAAACAAACAAAAAACAACAAAAAACAAAAAACAGAAACAATCAAAAGAAGCTTTAAGAGACGCACGGGCGCCGTCGCAGATCGAATTGGAATTGAGAGTGTCGTTTTCCATTTTAAACCACGCTTCGTTCTGTTGAGAATAACCAAGATTTTTTGTTGGAGTTAGCTCGTTTGTATCCATCTTCATGTGTCGTCATTCCATGCTTAATCGTTAAACAAAGAAATGATACTCTAGGGAATAAAACGTGTTCTGAAATGGGAAAACATTACGCCCGATGTAAACGGGTCTATTTAGCGTGTTGAGTGGATTTTGTGGTGGGCGAAAACCAAGGCACCGAGAAAATGACACCTCCAGCTAGTCTAAAAGACTGTGATTAGGTCTATATACTATTGAGAAAAGGTGTCATTCTTCGTAACTTTCTCATATCCATTTTATGAAGATAATCTCCAAACAGATATCTCCGGCCTCTGATTCAAACGTGCGGTGTTTTTATCGGGCCATCAGAACTTACTTGGATCTTAGACGTTTAGACAAACRTCTTTCTTCCCTACCGTGGTGGTGCTCGGAAGTTACTCATAACACGAGACTGGCGATATCTCTTTAAGCCAATCACAGCGCATTACGATTACGACTCATCCAATCAGAATAGTGGGACACTCCACCGTCACGGAAAGTCCGATGTCGTAAATTTATCGGGAAWTTAAATCCAACGACAAAAAATCTACTGCGCAAGCCCAAACATGGCAGAAAAAGCTCTTTCTCGGAGACCGCGTTCCTCTTGATCAGCGGAAACACAATCTTTTGTAACGACTTTGGGAAAAAATAATGGGCATTTTTTGCTTGAAATTGAACGCCGGATTTGATTTACTAAAACGATAAGTCAATGAGGTAATCAATCAATCAATATGGTTGTCAAGGATACAGTTATTGTTGATGACCAATTCTTCCAAGTCGTCGAGTCGTAGAACGTGTTTCTTGGACAAGCATGTTAACTTGTTATCGCTTGCTTTGAGAACTTTAACACATTGTAGCATGTTACACTGGTCTAAACTTGTCAGTTTGTTACCAGAGAGATCCACTTCTCTCATTAGCATGAGTTGATGTATGTGATACAGATGGGTAAGTTCCTATGGGAATCAAACATTAGTATTATGAGGGTATGCATGTGATGTTGGRGAGCTGCTATTTCACAGGRAGCCCAATTTTGATAAGTGATAGATGGAAAAAGTCCGGAAAAAASACGGACTTGCCTCGTGCTCACGTTGAAGCACAAACGGGCGAGTTACGTCATACAGGAGAGTTGCTATGGTTACTAAATACCAAYAGTATGAGTTGATAAATACGACACAGATGGGTAAGTTCCTATGGCAACCATATATCGGTTGCTATGGTAACCGAATATTATTAGTATATAATGAATGCATGATGCTCTGGCGATAAATTACTATGGTAACCAGGTACCATTGCCACCAGTTGATGTATGTGATAGGGGTTCATTAGACTTAGGCCCCGTCCACMCGTATCCGGAGATTTTTGTATCCGCAAATTTTGTTTTTCGGATACGAAGATGTTCGCGTCCACACGCAGCTTAATCGAATCGTTTTCACTGTCCACACGTATCCGGAAATTTCTTGATCCGCCCTGATGCACGCTAGTGCCTAGTCCCTTTGACGGATAGTTTTTCTTATTGAGCATGCGCAAAATCGTGTTTACGTCAGCGTAATCGAAAATTTGCTGATACGACCGTCCTCACGTATCCGTATTTGGAGCTTATTCGAAAATTTCCGGATACGGATACAAAAATTTCCGGACACGTGTAGACGCAACCCGTATCCG